AAGTAGAGCCTAGATAGGTTTTACAAAGCTCTCTTTAACACACCAGTCCACAACAATTTCCCGTCGAACTTCTACATCACTGTATACTTCTATACCATTTATTTGACACTTTCTCAAATGCTATCATGCCATGTTATCATTATACAATATTTCATTATTATACCATTTTATTTGCTTTTATTTTTCTAAATACAAACATTTTTAGGTATATAGAGTGTATGTCTCTGAAAGGTAGGTATAGGTCAGCTATCGGGCAGATATAGTAGCTCATGCCTATAAGCCCTGTACTTTGAGAGGCCAAGGCAGACAGATCACTTGAGGCCAGGAGCTCGAGACCAGCCTGGCCAACATGGAGAAACCTCATCACTATTAAAAATACAAAAATTAGCCAGGCATGGTGGTACACACCTGTGATCCCACCTACTCTAGTCGCTGAGGCATAACAATCACTTGAACCTGGGAGTTGGAGGTTGCAGTGCAGTGAGCCGAGATGGTACCACTGCAATCCAGCCTAGGCAGCAAGCAGAGCAAGACTCTATCTTAAAAAAAAAAAAAAGGTAGGTATAGTTTAATTTGCTACTAGCGTATCTATGCATATATTTTCTGGAAACACCTGCTGAAGGAACTAATGAAAAAAAATTTTTTGTAGCTTGGAATGAGGGCTCGGTCTGCAGTTTATCACCAAATTTGGTAATTGACAGTTCTCCTTAGAGGGTCCTAAAAATATTATACCATTTCTCTAGGGAATACTTCAGGACCCTTTTTGGTAAACAGTTCAAAACAAATGTAATGGAAGAACATTAGAGTGATATATTATTCTAAATTTTCTGACATATTTAGAGAAATTCATACTCAGGTACCTCTAAATCCATTATAGAATTATTAAAATATTCCGTAACTCTTTAGAACTCTACATTTGTCCCAGTTACTTTAGGAAACTTTAAATATTTTCAGTAGGTTAATTTCTATTTCAAAATATATCTCTGAGGAAAAGAAATGTTTTTGGCTGTAGTCGTGCTGTTTAGTTACTCTCTTGGCTGAATATCATTAATCATAGATTTTTTTTTTTTTTTTTTTTGAGACAGAGTCTCGTTCTGTCGCCAGGCTGGAGTGCAGTGGTGCAATCTCAGTTCACTGCAACCTCCCCTCCCGGGTTCAAGCAATTCTTCTGACTCAGCCTCCTATCAGCTGGGATTATAGGTATGCACCACTATCATAAACTTCTATACACTTTTAACCCTATATAAATGCAGGAGTACATTTCAATGCGGTTTGGGTCAGACTAATCTCTAATTAATCAAGACTTTTTTCCTTCAAAATCAGAGAATATGTTATAATTCCAATTATTCTGAGTCTTATCAGAAAATACAAGAGCCATAAAAAAAAAGTTGGCAAACAATATTGAAATTCAGACTATATGTGTCACCCATTTCAAATGTTAGGATTTATTTATTTCCCGAGTTTTATCAATCACTATTTTTGCTGATACTAATAAAAAACAAGTTTGATAATAAAGAATTATCAGTGATATGTTTCTTTTTAGATACCCTCATGAACATTTTATACAAAGCTAATTGCTTTTTTTTCCTTTTTTTCTTTTTTCTTTTTTTTTTGTGACGGAGTCTTGCTCTGTTACCCAGGCTGGAGTATATCAACTTGATCTTGACTCACTGCAACCTCTGCCTCCCAGGTTGAAGCAATTCTCTGCCTCAGTCTCCCAAGTAGTTGGAATTACAGCTACTTGAGAGACTGAGTAGCATCCACCACCACGCCCGGCTAATTTCTGTATATTTAGTAGAGACGGTGTTTCACCATCTTGGTCAGGCTGAGTCTTGAACTCCTGACCTCATGATCCACCCACCTTGGCCTCCCAAAGTGCTGGAATTACAGGTGTGAGCCACTGTGCCCAGCCGCTAATTGTCTTTTAAAAGCTTTATTGCGATGTAATTTATGCAACATTAAAATTCATCCATTTTAAGTGTACAATGGGTTTTTTGAGTATATTTACAGAGTTTTGTCACTATTACCATAATCTAAATGTATCTTATTTGTGATATAATTAACAAAATTCTATAACCAAACCACTATCTAATTCTAGAACATTTTCATCCCCACAATAAGGAACCTCATACTCAGTAGCAGTCACTCCCCATTTCTCCCCAACCCCTTCAGTCCTATGCATTTACTAATCTACTTTTTGTCTCTATGGATGTGCCTATTCTTGACATTTCATGAACATAGAATCATACAGTATGTGATCTTTGTGACTGGCTCCTCTCACTTGGCATAATGTTTTCAAGGTTCTTTCATGTTACAGCATATATCATAACTTTATTCCTTTTCTCCTAATAATATTCTATTGTATGATATACCACATGTGGCTTATTCACTTATCAGATGATGGATATTTGGGTTTCCACTTTTTGGCTATCAAGAAAAATGCTGTAGGCTGGGTACTGTGGCTCACGCTTATAATCCTAGCACTTTGGGGGGCTTAGGTGGGATGGCTTGTGCTCACAAGTTCAAGACTAGCCTGGGCAACATGGCAAAATACCAACTCTACAAAAAAAATTTTTTTTAACCCAGGCATGGTGGTGCACCCCTGTAGTCCTAGCTACTTTGGGGGGCTGAGGTAGGGGGATGGCTTGAACCCCTGAGGTCAAGGATGCAGTGAGCTGGTGCCACTGCACTCCAGTCTGGATGACAAAGTGAGACCCTGTCTCAAAAAAAAAAAAAAAGAATAATGCTGCATAAACATTCACAAACAAGATTTTGTATAGACAGATGTTTTCATTTCTCTTGAAAATACTTAGAAGTGGAATTACTGGGTCATGTGCTAATCACCCTTTAGATGAGTAACAGGATTTTTTTTCTACTTCAGAGGGTTTTTGACACAGCGAGGAGGCTTTTTCATAAAAATGCAAACATAAAATCCATTTGTTGGTATAATAAGGTCCATGTGCACATGTCTTTGCTATCAACAAAAGGTATATTTTCCAATTTCAGTTGAAATAGAAATTCTGACATTGGATAAGATCTTAGAATCTTGGAGTCTGTACTAATCCACTTCATCCACATGCTGGGATAAAATTCTGTTCTTAAGCAGGAAGTATATATCCAACTCCTATGGCTGACAATTGCTTAAGAGATAAGTACATGATAAGGTTAGACTGACACATAACCAGGAGCAAAAAGTAATAATTTAAAATGTTAAGACACTGGGCTGGGCGTGGTGGCTCACATCTATGATCCCAGCCCTTTGGGAAGCCAAGGCAGCCGGATCACCTGAGATCTGGAGTTCAAGATCAGCCTGGTCAACATGGTGAAACCCTGTCTCTAGGAAAAATAGAAAAGTTAGCCGGGTCTGGTGGTACAAGCCTGTAATCCTAGCTATTTGGGAGGCTGAGGCATGACAATAGCTTGAACCAAGGAGGTAGAGATTGCAGTGAGCCAAAAATCATGGCACTGCACTCCAGCCTGGACAACAAAGGGAGAATCTGTCTCAAAAAAAGAAAATAGGCCGGGCGTGGTAGCTCAAGCCTGTAATCCCAGCACTTTGAGAGGCCAAGATGGGCTGATCATCTGAGGTCAGGAGTTCTAGACCAGCCTGACCAACATATAGTAAAACCCCGTCTCTACTAAAAAATACAAAAAAATTAGCTGGGCATGGAACACACTCCTGTAGTCCCAGCTACTTGGGAAGCTGAGGCAGGACGATCCCTTGAACCCGGAAGGCAAAGGTTGTAGTGAGCCATGATTGAGCCACTGCACTCCAGCCTGGGCAACAGAGCAAGACTCCATCTCTCAAACTAAATTAACAAAATAAAATAAAATATTACACATCAACCATGTGTGGTTACTCACACCTGTACTCCAAACACTTTGGGAGACCAATGTGGGCAGCTCGCTTCAGCCCAGGAGTTCAAGACCAGCCTGGGCAACATGGCGAAACCGCGTCTCTACAAAAGTATATATATATATGTATATATATACACACCCTGATTGTTAGACACCCTGATTACTCATTTTCTTTCCCTAGGAGGAGTGTTTGTGTGTGTTGGGGAGGTGGTGCTGTTTCTCAAAAGCATTTTTCAAAAATTGTAGGCCAAATAAACTTCTGGTCACTATTCTGGAGGTTTGTTTTCTCCCAGTAACAAACACTCTAGTTCAAATATATTTTGCAAATTTTGAACAGATAATGAAAAGCTGATTGTAAAATTCTACATTTAAAAAAGACTTTAAAGACACATTTTCATTTTTTTAAAAATCAAACATCTTGCAGCAGAAATTAGACATAATCAAGGGAAAACTACCAGACGTCCTACCAACCACAGCCCTAGAGAAAACGCCACAGGTCGTCCAAAAAACGCATTCGTTGGAGTCAACAGCTCTTTCCTCCCGCCAAAGCTATCCCTCGAACGTCAGAAGCTGACCCTACGAGTGACTGATTTGATTTCTCCTTTTTGATTCCCCCCACCCTGCCACTCCCAATCCACCTGCTTGAAGGTGTCAACGCGACTACAAACGGTTAACAGTGACCAGCAGCAGAGAGAGAAACAAACATCCCTGACAACCCACAGCTGAGTAAGCAAGAGCCGTTTATTCACCAGCGTGTTCCATTTGGAGACTGTCGGCGAGCCCTTGAAAGCCCAGGCACATTTGAGAAGGTTTCTGGCGAGGGAGAGAATCATCTTTTCTTCCCCCACTCCCGAGCCCCAAACACACAGGGAGAGACTCGGGTGGAAGCCGTCTGGTCCGGGCAGTCCCGACTTGCCCGCCCCCTCAAGAAAAACCTCACGCACCCAACCAGCCGACCCCTCGAGGGGGGTGGTGTAATTCCCCCAAAATGGGCTCTGCTGCAGAAGAGGCTGGCGCCAGCGCCGGGGGCTTCAGAAGGAGTTTCTACCACCCCCACCTCCGCCACTGCCCGCCCCGACGCCACGGCCGCGGCTGAGGACCCTGATGAGAAATGGCCCTTCAGCCCCCTCCCCTCACCTGGCTCGGTCCCACCTGAGGGCAAGAACGGAGGCGAAAAGAAACAGGCAGGGAAGGCTGACCTTGTTGCTACTGACAGTGGAGCGACGCATCCTGCTGCTTCCTGGAAAGCCGCCCGAAGGACATTTTTTCTCCCAGGAGGAAGGAAACGGGAGGGCGCCGGCCGGACGGCGGCGGGCGCGGAGGCGTTAGTCCGGGCGGGCTGTGCAGCCTCGAGCGGGGACGGTCCGAGGACTACATCTCCCAGGCTGCTCTGGGCCGCCCTGCGTCGTGACCCCGGCGCGCACGGAGGCGGCGACTCTTACCTCACAAAGGTAGCTCCTCCGCCGGCAGTAGCTCGGCGCCCGCGGTCCATGGACCGGAACCTCGGGCCGACGGGCAGGAACCCGGGCCGCGATCGCCGCCTCCCCGCCTAAGGCTCCTCCTCCTTGCTCTCCGCCGCCTACCCCGAACGCCCGCAGGCTCCGCACAGCCGTCGCCTGGCTAGCCGAGCTGCCCCAGGAAGCTGGGTGGCGGGTTCGCGACTGCCGCGGGACTGAGGCCTACTCTGCCGCCTCTCAGTGCTATTGTCCCTGGGCCTGGCCCTGAGCAGGTCTACTGGGGAGGGCCGAGTGCGCCGGCTCCGCGGAAGATGCCGGATCAAGCCCTACAGCAGATGCTGGACAGGTACGGGCCGCTGTGTAGGGGACCGGGAGCCGCCGACCCTCGCTCTCGCCCTGCCCGCGCCCGCCCTCGAGGCTCTTGGTGAGCAGAGCCCGGCGTGCCGAGAGGGGTTCCACGGCCAGGGGGTTGTGAAAGACGCAGAAAGTTTTCAGTCTAGACTTGGGGGCGGACGGAGCAAGCGGCCTGGGTCGTAGACTTTGGGTGAAACTTAGCCAAGGAGTGGCGTCTGGTTTCTTTGGAACCCCGTTTTGACGTGAGGGGGACTTAGGTTAACCCACAAGATTAGTTTCTTTTTCTTACCCTCTTCCCCTCCCCCCACAACTTGTAAAGTGTGCGTCAGTGATGTCACTGGCAAGAAGAACCCAGTTATCTTTCAGGGGAAGGACCCCCTTCTAATTTTAAGTCTCTAAGAACCAGTGATAAGCATTCTTTTAGAAAGTCTGATTGGCTGATTTCATTCTCCCCGTTTTCCCCGTCCCCGCACCCCCTCATCCCGTCCCCACCTCCGAACTGTAAGGTCAGAGTATTCGCAAGGAAGCTTTAACGGTCAGTCCAGAGTAGAGGTTATGGAAAACAGCCAACTGAGTCCAACGCTGAACACTTAGCGTACTTGACGATCGTTGAGTTCATTGAAGACATTTCAGCTAGTACAGGAGTCAGTTGCCCATTCTTGTGGGCCCGGGTCGGCGAAACTCTTTGTGAAGTCAGCTGTACCGCCCTCTGCTGTTGAAATTCTAGTCCGTGGGTTCTACCCTGAGTTTTTGGAGACTCTAGATCCACATTTCCCCCCAGCCAAGTCTTACTTCCTGGCATAGCAAGTTGTACAAGCTAATTCATGATATTTGTGGTCGCTTACAACTCTCAATAGGCATCACTTGCCATCCATTTCAGCAGGTGGTACCAACTCTTTGTATTAAGTAAAATTCCAACTGTAAGGTGTTAAATGAAGGGCCTCCCTTAATTGAGTTTATATCTAATTAAATGCTGTTTGGTTCTGCCACACCCAGAACACAAATGACCCAAATGTACATATCCTTCCAGGGTGACCGACATTTTTTTGGAGCTTAGAATTTTGAGCCGTCTCAATTGATAGAAATTATGTCACTGATTTTTTTCAGTTGGGATAACTGGTGATTCATCCAGCCCTTGTTTCAGGTCAGCATTCTGCCAATTGTATTGACTACCCTTTTCTATGTATGTGTGTGTGACGTGTGTGTGATTTACAAGCTCTTGGAAGGCAGAAACTTACTATTGTTTATCTCGAATCCCAGAATAGAGCCTGGTACTCAGTAGGTAATTAAGTATTTGTTGTAAACTAATGCACAAACTTATTTGTCAGTTTCCCCAGTCGTCTAGGGGTCTGATAATTTACCAGGTATTCCTTTCATTGTAAATTGGCGAATTGTGGCAAATTTAATTATGCATAGAGGGGACCACCTGCCACTGCCAATTCTAAGCTGTTGAGACCCTGTTCTGATGCAGGGTATTTTGTAATTATTTTTTTTCCTCTGAGGACCTCCTGCTTTCGTTTGTACATAGTGACTTTTTTTCTTTTTTCTTTTTTTTTTTTTTGAGACGGGTTCTCAGTAACCCAGGCTGGAATACAGTGGCAGTGGCATGGTCTCAGCTTATTGCAGCTCCAGGGCTCAGGTGATCCACCCACCTCAGCCTCTCTAGTAGCCAGGGACTACAAGCACATGCCACCACGCCCAGCTAATTTTTTGTATTTTTATAGAGCCAGAGTTTTGCCATGTTGCCCATGCTGTTCTCAAACTCCTGGGCTCAAGTGATCCTCCCACCTCAGCCTCAGAAAGTCCTGGGATGTCAGGCGTGAGCCACCGTGCCCAGCCTAGAAATGCTCTTATGTCCAACAGCTAACCTAGCTTTTCATATGCTCTTTGGAGATTTCCCTAAAAGTAAGAAGCCAAAGAGTGAGGTCCAGCACGGTGGCTCACTCCTGTAACGCCAGCACTTTGGGAGACCAAGGCAGATCACTTGAGGTCAGGAATTCGAGACCAGCCTAGCCCACATGGTGAAACCCTGTCTCTACTAAAAAAAATACAAAAATTAGGCTGGCATAGTGGCGCATGCTTGTAGTTCCAACTCTTGGGAAGCTGAGGTATGAGAATTGCTTGAACCTAAGAGATGGAGGTTGCAGTGAGCCAAGATCGCGCCACTGCGCTCCAGCCTGGATGACAAAGTGAAACTACGTCTCAAAAAAAAAAAAAAAAAAAATACTAGTGAGGCATTTAAAACTTCTCAACAGAAATGTGAAAGTTTTGGCTGCCATTTACTGAAGCAGGTGACTATGACACTGGCTTACTCTCATCTTTGTTCTTTTGACATACCTTAAGGTAGATTTTTAACATGACTATCAAAGACCTTTATTGTCTGGATTAGTAGTTGGTAGCCTACTTCCATGTTAGAATTACCTGGGGAGCATTTCAGAACATGCCTGGATGCTGGATCCTCTCTAAGACTAATAAGATCAAAATTTTCTGTAGGGTAGATCCTGGACATCTATAAAGCTTTTTAAATGTTTCGGCTAAAAATGATTGCCCTAAGTCCTAAGGCAGTGGTATCATGGTAAGAGATAGTAGGGTATGGTGAGTAAAGCTTGGGCTTCAGAGATAGCATGAAATTTGAATTCTGCCGCTTACTAGCTATGTGACTTTGAACTTAGATTCTGACACTATGTATATCATCATTTATAAAATGGGAATATCCTACTTCACAGGGTTACAGTAAAACGAAAACGTAATCTCTATAAAACAACAAAACACTCTGTGTTAGCCCATTAGAAGGCACTTAAGACTAATGTAAACCAGTTTGGCCATTTTTCCCTATCTACTTTATGTTTACAATATGCTTCATCTGGGCTGGCCCTACTGCAAGTTGAACACAAAGATACTCAATATGGTTCACTTGAAGGAGTATCTACAGACCCAAGAGACTAAGATATGTCAGCCTATTAGGACCCAGAATTCTTTTCATGAATTTGGCTTCTCCCTAACCTGGTTTTTGGTGCCAATCTTTGAGGGACAGAATTTAGCTCAGATAATTGTTCATGTGCTTGTTTATTTAATGCAGGTTTTAACTTTGTAAAGACTAAGGAAATATGTGTGATAATATTGTTCTGTCCTTTTAGGTTAAGTTATGTATTTTATTTAGGCCAGGCACAGTGGCTCACGCGTGTAATCCCAGCACTTTGGGAGACTGACATGAGAGTATTACTTGAGTCCAGGAGTTGGAGACCAGCCTGGGCAACATGGCGAGACTCAGTCTCTACAAAAAATTGAAAAATTAGGCCAGGTATGGTGGCACATGCCTGTGGTCCCAAATAGGAAGCTGAGATGGAAAGATTCCTTGGGGGTCTTGGCTGCGGTGAGCCATGTTTGCATCGCTGGGTATTCCAGCCCAAGTAACAGAGCAAGACCCTGTCTTAAAAAAAAAAAAAAAAAAAAAAAAAAGGTGTTATTTTACAATGAATCAATTATTAAACATTTATATTTATTGAATTTATTTAACAAATACTGAGTGTCTACATAGGCCCAATACCATTCTAGGCCCTTGGTATATAGTGGTGAATTGAACATTTAAAAAAGCCCTTATGGAGCTTTAATTCCAGTGGTGTTTGTGTTACCTAAACTGTCAAAGACTCTTTCAATGGTAACATGAATGGTATGTTCAATTTATACCACTTAATCTTTCAGGGTTTTTAAACTAGTGGCAACTTTTTTTTTTTTTTTTTTTTTTTTGAGACAAAAGTCTCACCCTGTCACCTAGGCTGGAATGCAGTGGTACAGTCTCTTGGCTCACTGCAACCTCTGCCTCCCAGGTTCAAGCAATTCTTCTCCTTCGGTCTCCCAAGTAGCTGGGACTATAGGTGTACACCACCACACAGAGCTAATTTTAGAGACAGGGTTTCACCATGTTTGCCAGGCTAGTCTCGAACTCCTTACCTCAAGCAGTCCACCAGCCTCGGCCTCCCAAAGTACCTGGATTAAAGGCATGAGCCACTGAACTTGGCCAACTAGTGGCAACTTCTTAATAGCTGAAGTTGAATTCCCTTGTCTTTTGCAAATAACTCACTTTAGTTTAGCTATTATTTATATTGATAAATTTAATTACTATAGTATTTGTAGGTGGAAAGTATATATATGGATATACTTTTGATTGCCTTTTGTTTTTATAAACTGTTTAAGTGTTTTATATAAATTTATTATTTGAACTCTTTTTTTTTTCTTTTTAAACAGTTTCACTCTTGTTGCCCAGGCTTGAGTGTAGTGACTTTATCTCAGCTCACTGCAACCTCCACATCCCGGGATCAAGCCATTCTCCTGCCCCAACCTCCCGAGTAGCTGGGACTACAGGCATGCGCCACCACACCCGGCTAACTTTTTGTATTTTTTTTTCCTTTGGCTGTAGATCTTTTTTTTTTTTTTTTTTTTTACCCTTGGCCATAGACCAACTTTTTGTATTTTCAGTAAAGACAGATTTCTCCATGTTTGTCAGGCTGGAACTCCCAACCTCGGATAATCTGCCTGCCTCAGCCTCCCGAAGTGCTGGGATTAGAGACGTGACCCACCACTCCCGGTCTTGAACCTTTTAAATTATTGTGGGTAAACAAGAATGCTGGAAGGGGGGGTGATTTTTCTAGTGTCATGAAGGTTTTAGCATCACAAATATCATTTCCCTGAAATTATAACCACTCGTAAGCCCAAACCCTTTATATCAAGTTTTTTGAACCTTAGTTAGGTCTTCTGTCTTTTTCATTGCTTCAGTTCTTTAGTAAGAAGTTGTTATGTATTACTTTCTCTTTCACCACCACCTTTCTTATTTTTCTGTAAAACTTCTCAAAGTTAGGATTGAATTTTCAGAGAACAATTCAAAGAATATAACAGACTGCAGGAATGGACCTCTGATTTGAAGCCTGGACTTACTGAGAAATGCTTCTGGAAACTACTTTTGCTTCCCTGTCTTAAAATAAGCACGTATTAATT